CAATTAAACCCTCCTTGATCCCTCATCCCAAATCCCCCTCCCCCCTTTCCCTTCCCTTTCTTTAAACGGGTCCCGAGAGCAGGTGAGCGAGCCAGACCCGGCCCTGGGCTCTGCTTCCTTCCAGACTCGCTGCCCAAGCCCTCCCTCGGTGCCTGGCCCAGCTCGGTGGTACCTGCCAACAGCAGCGTGACACTGCGATGCCGGGCTCCTGCCAGGGATGTGATCTTTGCTCTCAGAAAGGGAGGAACTATTTTGGATTCCCCACAGTCACCTGACTCTACAGAGGGCCTGGCTGAATTTCACCTCACTGATCTCAAAAGCGGAAATGCCGGAGAGTACACCTGCGAATACTACAGAAAGGCGTCCCCCGACATAAGTTCACAGCGCAGTGATGTCCTTCTCCTGTTGGTTACAGGTGAGGAGGCGGCGCCTTAGAATGACGCATGGTGATCCCTGCGACGGGGATGGGAGGAAGAAAAGGGGTCCCATCTCCAGAGTAGTTGGGGTGGGGGAGATAGAGACAGGAACAGAATTGAAGAGCTTGGTTTTATCCGGGACTTGGAGGAGGAAAATTCTCTTTCTTGCGGTCAGAGTCAAGAGGGAGAGATCAGCTGTCTGTAACCTCCCGCCCTCCATGGGAACCCCCAGCCGGGAGTACCGGGGCCAGTGGGGGACCCAAGGCTTCTCCTCACGACCCCAGAGCCTAACTTCTCTTACAGGACATTTACCTAAACCTTCTCTCAAAACCCACCAAAATCATAAATTATCTGCAAGAGGAAACTTGACTCTTCAGTGCCAGAAGCCAGACACTACTATTGAGCCTACAACGTTCGCTCTACTGAAGGCAGGAACTTCCACCCCCATACAGCTGCGGAGTCCGGAACAGAACCGGGTCGAGTTCTCCCTGCAGGACGTGACAGTCGGTGACACTGGGAGCTACAGCTGTGTGTACTACCAGACGAGGGCTCCTTTCTTGGCCTCACAGCCCAGCAATCATCTTGAAATCTGGGTGATAGGTAAGGTTTTGCATGATTTAGGAGAAGTTTTTCTTTTTTCTAATTGAAGTGCATTTGTTCTGTTATTCTCTGACTCTTGGTTCTCCATAGCTTTCCCTGTCATCTCCTTTCTAAATCTTTCCTTTCGGAATTTCTATTTTTACCTTCTTTGTTGTACATCCTTGGATAATTTCTCATGTTGTTCTTCAAAATGGTCAGTCCGCCACCAGCAGAATGCCTTCGGCCATTCTCTGCATCTCTTATAGTTTTGACTCATCTCGGCATTGGTGATTTTATTCCCAACAACTCTTTCTCGTGCCCAGAACGTGATGTTTGCACAGCTTTCTGCTTCTGCACCGTGGCTGTGCTGTCTACTCGTGTCTCGTGGCCTTCTGTTTCCTGCCAGCATTCTCTCTCAATGGATGCTACACACTCTGCTTCCTCAGCGTTGTACACCCCCACTGTTGGTTCATTCTATAGAGTCGGTGAATATTTTGTAATTAGAATGAGGTTCTGTCTGGTCAGTACTAAGAGTTGGAGAGGGCTTCCCAAACATGAGGTGACATTAGTATTTCTCCCTGTGGACCTTATCTGCAGGGAACACTGTTGTTGCTGAGTTTGGAGATGAACTTTGCGCTAATTGGTATGCACGAGGTAAGAGGATTTAACACATTAACTGCCCTGTGAGTTGTATTTAACTCATGCTAGTTTTGAGCCTGGGCCTCTAGAAGCATACATAATTCCCACGTCTCTTCACCTTGGGAGCCGCAAGAACTATTTTTCAAGTTGCATATAACTCACGCACAGAAAACAGTAAAAAATAACACATTTTTCATTCAATTAGAAAGAATCGTTTTGTTTTCTAAGTTTCTAATTCTATTTTCATAATAAAACA